GGCTTTGATGACAAAAAATGCCTCCGTGTGGGTGGCAAGAAGGCCTGAAGAGGCAGAGCCTGGGCTTCCAGGTCCCTCACTCTCCTGGGCCTGCCCCTCTGCTCTTGAGAAAGCTCCTCCCCTTCCCTTCTTGCCCCTCGCTGGGTCCAGCGCCCACACCCACCGTGCCCTCTGAGGGTGAACCTGCAGTGTCACCTGTCTCTGGTTTTTTGATTTGTTTAATTATAGATGAGTTTTCTGCATAATTTATTCCAAAAGCCTGGATTATACTGTACAATTAAATCACATTCTGATCAACAACTTCACATATAAAATTAACAACTGGCAACAGTTTAATCTATGCTGCTGCATCTGCACACAGGCTCTGGCTCCCCCCTTCCCTCCCATCCTTCTCCTTCCCCCTTCCCCTCCCACCCTCTCCCTCCCCTCTGCGTGAGCATTTGCAGCTGGCCTCTGAGCTGGAGGCCCTCACCCGAGTGCTCTGCAGTTTGACCCAGGGCCTCCCCAGCCTTTTCACTGGAGTCTCAGTGGTTCTATCTGCTGAAGGGATCCTCAGCTGCAGCCCCTCACTCCGTGCATGGTGACTTTGCTCCCTTGCCTGATAGTGACACCCTTCTCGCTCCCCCACTCCTCTGGGTTCTGAAACATGCCCAGGAGACCAAGGCCTAGCATCCCACAACACGTGGTGTCATCTTTTTTCCTGTGGAGCTTCCATCCCCATTGACCCTCCCCACCAGGGCAGGCATTCCTCAAAGATTTCCTGAGCCCTCAATAAGTTCTTAGATCTTAGGGAAGGGGTCTGTCCCCCCCCTGACTCCCCAGCAATAATACTACCCATCAAGATTTCCATGTGGCTTTGTCCTGGCTATTCAGCCAGGCCAGGCATCACGCCTGTAATGCTAGTACTATGGGAGGCCAATGTGGGAGGATCGCTTGAGGTCAGGAATTCCAGACCAGCCTGAGCAAGAGTGAGACCCTGTCTCTACAAAAAATAGAAAAATTAGCCAGGTACAGTGGCACATACCTGTAGTCCCAGCTACCTGGGAGGCTGAGGCAGGAGGATCACTTGAGGCCAGGAGTTTGAGGCTGCAGTGAGCTATGACAACGCCACTGCACTTTAGCCCGGGCAATAGAGCAAGAGTCTGTCTCAAAAAAAAACCCAAAAACCTATTCAGCCAGTCATTATTGCCCCCATTTACAGGTGGAAAAACTGAGGTTTCAGGGGACAGAACTCTCCAAGGTCACACAGCTGGCAGAGGTAGCCTCTCCCCCCTGAGGCTCTCCAGAGGCTACACTGTCCTGGAAGGATGGGCTCGTGGAGCTGATAGAGGCAGGAGGACAGGTCTGGCTTCTCTCTAAGTATATGACCCTGCTCCCATCCTTGCAGGGGCTTCAGTGTTCCTGTCTGTGAGGTGAAGCCGCAGTCCTTCACCAGCCTCTCCCCACCCCGGCTTTGGGCACGTTGGAGGATGTGGCTCTCTGGCCCACACCAGTATACCACCGCAGCCCCTGGCTGCACGAATCTCCTCCCAAACACTCTCCCCTTACTGTCTGGTTAATGTGGCACTTAGAAGCACTTAGGGATAAGCAGTGTCATCTCAGTGAAGAACATGGACAATCACGAGGCTGTGGGGAGCCAGCAGGTGGACCTCCCTGTTGGGTGTGTGGCCTCTGAGCCCCACTGTCTCGTCAGGGAGGCTCTGGCTGAGCCGGGAGCCGGCACTTGGTTTCAAGGAAGGATTCAGTCAATTGCCTTTGCCCCAGTGAGTGGGGCTGAGTCCCATGCATCCCCCATCCTTCCAAAGCCCCCGTGCCCTTCTGCTGCATTGAGCTTGACTGCCTGGCACGGGCGGGACTTGCTTGGTGGTTAGCTTCTCCGGCCTCAAGGCAGGAACACTGCAGGTACATGGTCTGCTCTGGCCTCCTCAGTGCCTGTGTGTCACCCCTCAGAGCCAGCACTGGGATACTGGCCAAACCCTAGAACCCACAAAGTTTCATGCCTGTGACGATGGACTGAATTATCCATCATGTTCTTTTTAACTCTAGGATATACATATTTGCCTTCCTAATTGGGTTTGATTTAGGTGAATAATCAGAGCAACTTGTTTTCCCTGGAATTGTGCTGAGGGGCAGCGAGCTAGGGCCTGGGGTCTGCCTGGCAGGTCCAGGATGCCAGACTAAGGGCTAAAGCCACCCTAGGCCCAGGGGGGGGGCGGGGGGTGTCCTGATATGTTGTGGCAGGCCAGTCCCTGAAGCCCATAGCAGAGTCTAGAGCTGCTCAGCCCAAGGTGGAAGCGGGGAGACTGTGTGTGTGAAGGGGGGAGAAAGAGGGAGGGAGGGAGAAAGAGTATGTGAATTGGGCTTTATCCTGAGATTTGGCTCTTCTAAAAATTATTTTAGTGTTGAAATAGTCTTTTTAGATGAAATGATGGTGATTATAATAATAATGTGTTGTCTGAGCAAAATAAAACATGGCATTCATGTCTGTTCTCCCAATTAATTTTCTTTTACTTATCTGTGAAATCCTAGAAACAGAGACCTATAGACGTACCAGGAAAGAGTCAACAGCCTGGTTTAGAATCACTGGTGGACTGGCAAATGTTTACAATTTGCTCTCCAGGGGGAAAGAACCATTGTTTCTAGCATTTGCCAATTTCCGCAGTGTAAATATTCCTACTATGACTGATTTCAAGTTCCCAAGGTGATGGCACTGAATGCAGAGTTGGGAAGAGGTGCATGTGATTGGCTTTTGTGAGTCAGCCCTTGCAATTCCAGCACACTTCTGGGTCAAGTCCTGTGTTCACTACTTCCTGGATGGGTGACCTTGGGCACGTCACTTAAATCTTCTGTTCCTCCGATTCCTCATCTGTGAGTTGGAGATGATAATGTTTGCTTCTTTGCGAGAAAGCAGGTGACGTGGTGGCATTGCATCTTGTACATAGTAGGTGCCCTTGTACATATCAGTCCCAGAAAAGATTATGATTGGCATTTTGTCCCCTAGACCAGTGAATGGCTGAGGTCAGAGTCAGAGCCAGGCCAGAGTTAATGGTTCCCTTTGGTGATCAGATCCTGACTCTGCCCATTTGTCTGCCACTTGCCTGGCTGGAGACAGTACTATATGGCAGCCCATCCCGACATTGACCTCCAGGCTCTATCTCAGGAGCACAGAAAAGCCACCTGCTGCCTTGTCCACCTGCAGCCAGGCCCAAGAGATCAGCGCCTGGTGGACAGTAGCCAAGGGCCGAGCAGGCTCTTGGTTCTCTGCTGGGTTCTGCTTTCCCCAGGCTGGTGGCTGGGGCCTGATTGCCCTTTTTAGCCCAGCCTACAGACTGGCCTCCACCCGAACTCAGGGTTAGATTTCCCCCTGTGGTGGGGAGCGGAGGAGGGAACCAGGCTGTGGCTCAGCCAGCAACAAGCTAAAGCTAATACTTCTTTCTTTTGATGTTGATTTTTTTTTTCCATCACGGTCCTGACATTCAGCTTGGCAAATTGCAATTAGTGATCTGCCCGCCTCCTCCTCTGAGTTCCCATGCCAACCCACCCGGGCACACACAATGGCATGGGCCCAGCTCCCCAGCCCCAGGCCTGAGGAGAGATGCAGGGTAGGGGGCTGGGTAGAGGCTTGGCTTTTCTGACCCAGGGAACCAGAAGAGAGTCCTGGCCCTGAGTGGCACTGGGGAAGTGGCAGGCCCAGGGAGGGGTATTGGGGCCAGATACAATCTCCTGGGCCCTGTGGCTGCTGGGATGCCTCCAGGGGCTTGGAACTGGCCTCACCCTACCCCTCCTGTTCCCTATGGGCTATGCTTAGCCCATAAATCTTTGTGGTAATTCTTCTGTGGGTCCCCTTGGAAGGGGCTTGCATGCAGAATGAGAGTGTGTCAAGTGGGATGGGGAAGTTGAGATACCTTTTCAGATACATGAGAACAGGGAGCCATGGTCACAGCCGAGAGCACCTTTGGCTGTGTGGAGAGGGTTTCTCTGGCTGAGACCAGGGTGATTTGCTCACCTGATGTGGCTCTGCCTAAGCAGGAGGTCACAGGTTTGAACCCAGGTGAGGCCTCTGCCCAGATATCTTCCCTTTTCCTGGTTGTAGGGCCAAGAATACAGGGCCATGTGACCAACTGTCCACCCTGTCCACTAACAAAGACCCCTGTCCTGTGCAGACCCTTGACTCACCTATTCTCATGTGTTCTTATGTTACCCTAAGAGATGGCCCCAATTTATCCCCCATTCCAGAGGAGGCAGCTGAGACACAGATGGGTTAAGACAATTCCAGGGTGGCACCAATATGGGAAGACCTGCTCAGACTGTGGCTCAAGGGGATTGTGGGGCTTGCCAGGCCCCCAGAAAGGGGTGGGACGGTCTGCAGTATCCGTGAGTAGGTGGTTCCTGCGGGACACCTGGCAGTGAGCATCAGATGCATGACCATCTGTTTCCCAGGAAAAGGCAAGGGCCGTCTGAGCTGGAATTCCTCATGTCCACTTCTCAGGTGAGGCCCAGAGGGACAGGGTCCTGCCCCAGGTTACACAGTGACTTGGTGGTGATAGCCATGTTCCCTCCCCTTCCCCACGACCCACCTGGCCTTGGGGACAAGAGGCTCCAAGATCCAGCAGACCGCCCCCACCCCACCCCCTGCCAGCTCCCTGTGCGCTCCTCCTCCTGGTGTCCAGAAGTCCCCATGTTCAGAGCAGCTACATCAAGGGCTAGCTCTTCACGGTGAAAAATAGTCTCCCTGCAGGCTTTTCTGAGCCGCTGAACTTCCTCAGTGCATTTACAATACACTCTTCTCTCCTCCCTGGCTGGCCGACAGAGCCGGGGCCACCAGGTCTGGACTTCAAAGGGGACTCACAGGCACATGCTGGTTCCTTGCCTCTGTTTCTCCTCTAGTAAAATTTGAGATATGAGTGGGTGGCTGCCCTTGGTCCCCTCTGGGTGGCTGGGGGTGGGCTGTGCCAGCTCTAGGTGGGCCCTCCTGATGGTTCTCTCCTCTCTGCTCGCAGAATGCAGCACTGGGCCCGGCGCCTGGAGCAGGAGGTCGACGGCGTGATGCGGATTTTCGGAGGTGTGCAGCAGCTCCGCGAGGTGAGCCCTGTGCCACTTGCTTTCCTTCAGGGACCCTCTTCCAAGGGGATGGGGGAAAGCTTTAGAAATAAGGAGTGAGGGCGATTTGGCGTTGTTGAAGCCCAGCGTGGTGGAGCACTCCTGGGCCCCTGGGGACAGGTGGGGAAATGACTAGTAAGGCATTGCCCCCCAGGTCTTGGCTGCTCTTCCTGAGGTGACTGTCGGAGAAGTGCCCGACTCTGATAAAGACTTGTCACTGAAAGGGTGTTGGGCTTTTCAGGTTTCCAGGAAGGTGAGGTCTGTGTTTGACGCAGCACCTGGGGTGGGGCCCTCGAGGGGCCGGTGGATGCAGGGTGCACGGAAGCCAGAGGGACAATGCACGAAACAGTTGGGATGGCCGGTTCCAGCAGCCCCGAAAGCGGGCTGGATGCACCATAGCATGAGTCGAGACGAGTGGAAATCCTGCGCCTGGCGGGATGAGGGATCAAGGTGCGGGAGGGGTGATTGATTAGGCACCAGCCACCACATTCATCCTGGGAGATTATGTTAATGTTTGAAATAGTGATGTGAAGAGCAGGCCATCCGTCAGCCCCAGAAGGCTGCAAAATGTGTTGCTGTCAGGCCACGGGCTGCCCAGCCATTGCTCTTTATGTAGAGATGCGGAGGCTCAGAGAGCTGCGCTCTGGAGCGGTGGGGGTGGAACTCCCAGGGTGCGTGTGAGTCTTCGAGGATCTTGCTGCTGGGGGCTTGGGCCAGGAGGTACTGGCCGAAACTGGGCAGGGGATTAATGGGGACCTCCTGCTGATGTTTGGCCTGAGAGCAGCAGAGTAAACTGACTTCCTGGTGGTGGTTCAGTCGAGAGTCCAGGTCTGGGGTTTGGTGACTCTGTACCCCCTGTGTTCCTGTCATCCCTGCTGGCCAGGGCCAGGATGTGACCTTAGTGGGGCAGGGCCTGTGGGTTGTCCTCAGTCTGTTCCTCATGTTTGGCTTAGCTGGTGTCCAGGAAACGGGGTGGCTGTGAGTGTGTTGATGTTAGCCGTGGCTGTGGGACTTCTGGCACAGGATGGGGCTGTTGGAGTAGCTAGCTAGGTGATAACATGGTAGGTGGGGGAGTCCAGGTCTGCAGAACATCCAGCTCGCTGGGTGTCCTCGCCACTGTGGCCCGGCACCTCCGAGCCTCCCTTTCCTGGTTGCTGGGCTTGAGTAGCCCCATCACACTCTCTTCCTGTGAACTCTCAGTGACTCAGCCACACTTGGAGGCCAGCAGAGCTTTCCAGAGAAAGTGCTGAAGGAAAAGCTGTTCTGGAACAGGAGTCAATTTAGGCTCAGGAATAGCACCTATCACTAACCAGGCTCTAAGTGGCAACTGCCAAGTACAGCTGTGTGGGTTAATGAAGGAATGACAGTTCCCCGGAATGTTCATCCTGTACCTTTCCAAATTTCATACCGGGACATAAAACATACATTACATGAGGAGTTAACCATGCACCTCCAGTCAGCAATCCTCCATGCTTTGAGTTATCAGCTTGGAGACATTGTTTCTTTTATACTCATGGGCAACTCAGACCCTGAAAGTTTGTCAATGAGAAAATAATGTACACATTTGTGCCTGAGACTCAGATCTGTCGAGACCGTTGAATTTGCTGGATGGTGAGGACCAGACATGGGCTCCCAGCTTAGCGTACCCACCGTGTCCCCCTGGGTGAGTCCTGGACCCTCTCTGATCCTCATTTTTTTTTTTTTTGAGACAGGGTCTCACTTTGTTGCCCAGGCTAGAGTGAGTGCCGTGGCGTTAGCCTAGCTCACAGCAACCTCAAACTCCTGGGCTCAAGCAATCTACTGCCTCAGCCTCCCGAGTAGCTGGGACTACAGGCATGCACCATCATGCCTGGCTTATTTTTTCTATATGTATTAGTTGGCCAATTAATTTCTTTCTATTTATAGTAGAGATGGGGTCTTGCTCTTGCTCAGGTTGGTTTTGAACTCCTGACCTTGAGCAATCCACCCGCCTCGGCCTCCCAGAATGCTAGGATTACAGGTGCGAGCCACCTCGCCGGGCCCGATCCTCATTCTTGACTCATGGTGTGGCTGGGAAGTCTGGAGGGATGAGGTGGTAAGGAGGGCAATGGACAGACCCATGCAGATATGCCCCCTTTTTTAGAAATCAAATTTGAGTTTCTCTCATTGATCATTTTCACTCCTAGGCTGTGTTCCCAGCCTTTCTGATGGGACTGAGTGATTCTAGACACTATCATCCATGAGCATGTCCTCCCCCAGCCCCACCTGCCCAGCAGTAACCAAGGTGGCTGTGCAACTGGCTTGTGGCATAGCTAGGGCTTGGACCACGGCTCCTGACCCCTGTTCCAGGGTCTGCTCCTCCCCTGGCCTCCTTCCCCTCTTGTGGGGCAGACAGGATGAGCCTGGGGCAGTGGGGAGCCAGGCAAGAGCAGGGCTGTGCGTGGTGTGGCAGGCAGGCAGGGAAGTGCTGACCTGGCGTCCGGGCTCCTCCTGGCAGCCCCTCTGCTGCTGGTGGCTGCCAGCTCTCCAGCGGCTCTCTGTCCTGCTCCAGTTTTTTCTCACCTGCTTCCTCAGCCTCTTACTTCCTGCTGACAGCTCTGGGGCTGCTTCTTGGCACTGAGTACTCTGGTGAGGTGGGGGGGATGGGGGCAAGATGTAGCATTCTAGAGGAAGAGAGCAACCCTGTGGGAGCAAGAAGGAATGACCCCTGCCCCTGACTGAGCCACCATTGCTCTCCTTCAGATGCATATGAGAGGGCCCATGTGCCCAGCCCATGCCTGGCCCTGACAGGTCAGCAGGATGCTTGGAGCAGAGCCCTGACCCAGCTGTGGATACTGCCGTGTAACCTGGCACCAGCTCTGCCAAACAGACAGACTTGCCCCTCCCACACTGGGGCTGCCCCTCCTAAGGCCTCCTTGAGCTGATTCTGAGCTGCCCCCAAACACCTGCAGCTGGGGTGATCTTAGCATCCGGGCCCCCTTGGCCTTCTCCCCAGTGGTTGCATTCCCTGCCTGGCCCATCCTAGAGGCTGCTCCACCCCCAGTAGCTTGGAGCCACGAGGGCTGGCAGCTGCAAGAGTGCAGAAACTGCAGACAGTAGCATTTGGGAACATTTTCCTTGCCTTGGCACTTTCCTTTTCCTGACCTCACCGCAACCCCATGGGGGCATGGCTGGGTGCAGACCATAGCCCATTTGTAGTTTGGAAACCATGACATACTTCGGTAGAGTATGGGGGTTGTCTGTGAAGACATCACATTTCCTCATCTAACCCCAGGCCCAGTGCATAGACGGAGCTCCTGCTATGACCTGGTGCTCCCAAGTTATCCCACCCCCATCCTTAGCCAGACACCCTGAGCCACACCCTTCTGGGTTCCCCAGCACCACACCCCCCACCCAGCCCTGGCCCACTCTTGCCCTGAATGGGCCACAAAAATGTAGACCCTGGTGCTGTCCCCCCTTCCAGAGTCCCTGGAGGCTGAGCAAAATCTCTTGAGCCTCTTCTCCACCCTCCCCCATCAGCACCATATTGTCCCCATCCTGGGGGGAGAGCAGAGAGCATATGCTTAGGCTCTGAGCTCATTTACATAATGAGGCTGATCAGGATGAATAATTCATCAGGTGCTTGGGGGTGCATAGGGGTGGGGGCCGGGAGGATGTGGAGATGGGCAGGTCTCCCCTTTCTAAAGCCCAGGCCAGTCTCATGGGTACAGCCAGGGACCTGCCCCTTCTGGCAGGGTATCTAGGGTACAAGGAGAACACTCTGGGAACCCTGTGGGAAGGCGAAGCAGGCGAGATTTTAGTCACATGTGAGGAAGAGCCAGTTGACTCATCAGGTTCAGTAGCCCTGAAATGGGGTCCTGACCTGGGTGAGACACCTTCCTTGGAGGATCTCTATAGAAGGAAGGAAAAAGACCCTCCACCTGGCCTGGAGGCTGGCAGTGAGGACAGGCTGCCAGGCCAGAGCTGGGCTGGGAGCAGGAACCTGGAATAGCCATGTCTCGGGGCCACAGGCTACCCTCTGGGAAGGCTCAAGCCAAGCCTGGACCCCTGGGAGCCTTTCCTAGTCTGCATCAACCCCCGTAGCTCACCTGCCGGTCAGGGCAGAAATGGTGTAGAGCCCAGCCCATGTCCCCAGCTGCCTCGTCCTCCATGATGGCCTTAGTCCATGGTTATTCCCATGGTCCTATCATACACATGGGGAAACCAAGGCCCTGGCTGACTGTTTCTACCAGCTGTCCCTTCCTTGGGACCTGGCAGTGCAGGGGAGGTGTCATGGCAGAGGAGCCACCCTGGGACAGCCCCTTCCCTGGACTGCTGAGCCTGCCTCCAGAGGGAACAGGACCCCGGGACGTGGAGATCCCCAGCCCCAGGTCTTTTGCTCCCCTCTCTGCTGCGGTGCTGCTCTGGACGGTCCTGGTGATTCAGGCCAGCAGTGTCCATGTGCCCCCACTTCTTAGGGCTGACCAGGAATGGCATTTCTGAACCAGTGACAGCATCACAGCCCTACCCATCTTGTCTGCCCTGGCTCTCCCTGCGCCCTGTCTGCTCAGTGCTCCCTGGGAATGTGTAATTAATATTTGTGGAGTGCCACATCTGGAGCCAGCTCCCGGCACAGACCAAAGTCTGGCTTGTCCAGGGCCCCTTTCCTGCGGGACTCGGTCTCTCTGCAAGTGGCTTTGAGACAGATCTTTCCCTGACCCCCTCCACCATCCTGCCCCGCTGGCACCACCAGTCCTGAAACATGCATACTCACACACTGACTCTGGGGGTGCTGGCTGAGGCTATGGTCTGTTCCCATTAGGGGAGGGTGCTATCTGGGCATCCTAGGTAGGGTTAGCAGTACCCAAGAGTGCCAGGGAACCTGAGGACCTTAGAGGGGCTGGGGCAAAGAGAAGCAAGGATGTTGGGGTGAGGGGAGGTGCCAGGGGCAGAGCAGCTTCTAGAGGGCCAGACAAGGGAAGCATAAGAGGTTGTGACCCCCAGACCCTACAGTTGATCCTTTT